AAAGCATCTCCCACATTGAGTTAGCTGATGTCATCTGGCCATTGACATATTTAATTTTCACAGACATTGCTATCCCCACTGCTCCTAACCAACTGCTTCCCAGCCAGACATCTTAGTCCCTGGCACATGCACCAGCGGGCTTGGGCACGTGCTAATCAAACAACTCTGCCTGTGCTGGGAGAGTAATTTTCATGAATTACTTTAAAAATTAGAGAGAGACATAGCATTAACCTATCTGGAAAATGAAGTCTTGCTAAATGATGTTATGTAATCACTCCTCATCTTTTACCCTATATAATTCATCAAATTCTCTCACAAGTCCCCAAATAGCTTATGTTTTCTTAAATACAATATTAAAAATTTAAACTCTCTCTCTATATAATTCATATGTTAAATATTTATCATATATTTGTCTTGTTGTTCATTCATTTCAGTCATGTGCAACTCTTAGTGACCCCATTTGGGGTTTTCTTGGCAAAGATACTTGAGTGGTTTGCTGTTTCCTTCTCCAGCTCATTTGACTGATGAGGAAACTGAGGCAAACAGGGTTAAGTGACTTGCCCAGGGTCACACAGCTGGTAAGTGTCTGAGGGCAGATTTGAATTCAGGAAGATGAGTCTTTCTGACTCTAGGCCTGGTACTCTATCCACTTGCGCCACCCACCTTCCCTATCGTTGTCTTAGGTCCTTTCTCCTTCAGGCCACCATACACTGAGAGTTTATGTGCCACAGTGGAAAGAACACTGAGTTTGGAGTCTGAGATGGGTTCCAGATCCAGCTCTGCCCCTCACAAGCCTTGTGACCTCAGGCAAATCACTTCAACATCTACAAAATAAGAACTGGACTAAAGGACCTGAAGTCCCTCCCAACTCTTGAGAGCTTAATTAACTTGCAAGTATCCAAGGCAGAATTCAAATCCAGGTCTACAAACATACAATCTATAACTCAGCCATAGCAATCTGTACGTAAGACATTCATCTCTGTCAGAGAATGACCCCAGGAGTTGGACTGCACTATTAACTGCCTTTCTATGTGTTACCCAACGATAAAACATTATTCTGTCCTTCACACTCGGCTTCCAGGCATTGATACAATTATTGACTACTTTATAGTCATATGCAAGGTGTCCCAAAAGTCTTTGTGCAGTCCCAAGGTTTAATGGCTTGGAATTCACATAAAATCAGAGAATTAGAGGTTGAAAGCTAGGAGGGACTTTGGATTTCATCTACCCTCCCTTTTATAATTGGGGAAATGGGGGCCCAGAGAGGGTAATAATTTGAGTTATGTCATGTTAATGTTCAGCTCGTTTGATAATGCTGCCACATGGGGCTAATCCAGCTATTTGAAGGGGAAAGACATTTATCAGCTGCTTCTCAACAATACAGATGGGGTGTCCCAAAACTTTTAGTGCAGTTTTAAGCTGCTTTTAACCACACCAGGGCTTTTAGGACGCCTTGTCTCAATGAAAGGGTGTAATAGTTGGGTGACCTTATATGGCAGATCAAAGGCTCACAGATTTAGAGCTGGGAGGATTCTCAGATACTGCCTAGGTCAAGGCCATCCAAGCCCTCTGATGCAAGATCCAATGCTCTCTCTCCCCAAGCTTTAGGCTAATGCTTTCTGAGTCTAAGAGGTGATCTAGTCCACACTATATATACATATAGCTCTCCCTTCCCAGAGTCACAGAATCCCTGGGTCATCTTATCCAACCCAGACCCAAACAGGCGTTTCTTGGGTACTATCCCCTACCAGCAGTCATTCAGCCTCTACTTTATGGCCTCCAGCGAAGCAGAACCCATCAACTCTAGGGCAGCCCGGTCCACTTTTGGAGACTTCCAAAGTTTTCCTTGACTTCTAGCCTAAATCTGCCCCTTTTTTGGCTCCCCCCCCCCCCACTGCTCCTGGTTCTTCCCTCAGAGACCAAGCAGAATGAGGTTTCTTCCTCTTCTGTATCACTGCCCTTCAAACTTTGGAAGACAACTTGTCTGGGACTTCTGCAGGCTCCTTAGTTCCTTCAATGTCTCCTCATACGGCACCATCTCTAGCCTTCCATCAATGGGTGCATTCCAGTCTGCTAAGGCACTTCCCTAAAAGATGGTACCCAGAACAGAAGCACTACAAATAGCCTTCTGGTCAACCCTTTACAATGTGTCTAGTCTTCTGCTTACAAAGTTAGAACACTAGATATACCCATACTTAGTCTGTATTCAATCTACCAACATCTAATAAGTGTTTACTTAAGCATTTTGGACACAAAGAAAAGCAAAAGGAGTCCCTGCCTTCAAGGAGGTAATGTTCTAATGGTGGAGGCAACATATATAAATCAACATGGGGAAGGCTTTGGAGGCTGGGGAAGGTGGAAGGAGAAGAGACAGAAAGGCCAGACGAGATGGCACTTAAGTTGTGTCTTGGAAGCCAGGTAGTCTAAGAATCAGAGGTTGGGATGGAGAGCATTCCAGGCATGGCGAATAGGAAGTCCAAAGGCATGGGGGCCAGAGATGAAATGTGTGCAAGGGGTGGCAATTAGGCCAATATCGCTGGATTGTAGGGTACACGGATGGGAGTAAGATGTATAAAGTGTGTAAAAGTTGTGAAAAGCTTTAAATGCTAAACAAGGGACTTTATAATTGATCCTGGAGGTAATAGGGAGCCACTGGAATTGATTGAGAAGAGGATGACTAATTTAAAAATACAAATCAACTGCTAAATATTCAAAATAAATGAATTTTGGGTATATTGAAGCCATATTACGGTATAGTGGAACTGAACTTGGAGCCACAATCTGAGTTTCAATCTCAGAACTGCTCCTTGCTTCCCTTTGTGACATTAGGCAAAATCACTTAAACTCTCTGGGCCTCAGTTCACTTATCTGTAAAATGATGGGAATGAACTCCATAGCTTCTGAGCTGCTTTCCAGCTCTAAATCTAGGAACTTATATTTTCCCTTAACAGGATTTTCCAAACCATTCCACTCTTCCACTTGTATGTTTCATTGACAAATGACTGATAAATTTCTTTCCTCTCAAAGACCTTCAAGAGTGAAGGCTGTTTTCCAGGAAAGGGTTGAACTAGATGCTCTGCTGGGGTCACTTCCAACTCTCAATCCTGTGATTCTCAGATCAAAGGGAAGTAAACCCATGAACCAGGTCAAAGAATCAAAGATTGGGTCCAAGTCAATGTGTTTGATGTTGGCGCCCCCTAGTGGTTCATCTCTCAACTTAACCAGAATGAAGAGAGCTCAAAACCACAGTGAATTTGAAAAAACAGCCAGAATTTATAGTAGCAATTAATGCGGTTGGGGGAAAAAAAATAGTATTTCAATAATAAAAAACATTTAGACTAAAGATGATTCATTTTTATCTAAATATAATTGAGACATAAAATCGCTTCATTAAAGTTAGTAGCAAACCTGCTAGATTTGTAATAAAATGTCTCTTTTCTGCTGTTAAATAAAAGCATTTGACACATAATAAAAACCTGCTGAGAGAAAGGAACAAGAAGATTCGCTGGGGAATGATTTTAAAATGCCATGAGAGTAAATGGGAGATGAAATTTTTGTGTTTTCATAACGGGGAAAACGATTTTCACCATTGCCTCCAATGTCCTTTTATTCTTTTTTACACAAAAGTTGAAACATAAGACCTCTGATACAAAGGGAAGCTACCACCAGGCTATCTGAGGCAAAAAAAGTGGAAGAGAACACTGGGACATCTCCCAGATCAGTTCTTGAAAACCAGTAAAATTAAAGGTCACTGGATGCCCGCCATCTTTGGAAACTCATTCTGGTCATGGCCTAGAGCAAATTACTTAAACTCCCTAGGTCCAAGTGTCCTCATCTATAAAATGAGGGGTATGGTCTAGATGGCTTCTGAGGTCCCCTCTTCCAGTCCCAGATAATCCTATGATTCCTCAAGTTATTCATTAATGACTCTTTGAGCCAGTCAATGAGATGGCTCAGTGGATAGAGCTCTGGGCCTGGACACGGGAAGACCTGAATTCAAATCCAGTCTTGGACACTTGCTAACTGTGTGACCCTGGGCAGGTCACTGAACCTCTATTTGCCCCAGTTTTCCTGATTGTAAAGTAAGGGTAATAACAGTACCTATCTCACAGGGATGTTGTGAGGATCACATGAGATGATAATTATAAAGCTCTGCACAATACCTGGCACACAGTCGGTGCCACATAAATGTTAGCTATTATTATTACCTCGCAGGATTGTTAGGAAGATTAAATGAGATGATATTTGTAAAGCACTTGATGGGGATTTTTTTCCCTTCTCTCCCTAGGCAGTGAAGATCACTACCTGTCCACACCTTCTCATCCTATGCAAATAAGCGGATAGATCAGAGACTCATAGGTTCATGGACTCATAGCTTTAGAAAGAGTTCTTAGAAAGTTGCCCAAGGTTCAGAAAGATGGCTTGCTTTTGATTACAAAGTAAGTTCCTCCTTACATTGGGGCAAAATTCACTTCCCTGTGACTCTCACTGATCAATTTTTGTTCTGCCTTTAAAAACCAACCGTGAAGTAGATATCGAACACCTCCCATACTCTGGGCCCTGGACTACGTCTTGGGGTTACTCGACTGAAGGGGCATCCGTTGAGAAAGTCTACACAAGGAGTTATACAAGGTGTTCCTTGGTCATAGTGTGGTTTCAAGCCTTGGTAGATAATTGTGACCTTTCAGACATTTGCAAGAGGAAATGTGGTTTTGTGGGTCCACCTTGGCCTCTGCCTTCACTAGCTGCATGGTAGCCCTCACGCGCCCTTCAATGACTCAAGTCCCAAGCAGGTCTATACCGGTGGACCTCTTCCCAGCCACAGTTCCCTAGATCAATGAAACCCTCCTCCGCCCCAATGCCTGCCCTAGGCTAACTTCACAGAGGGCTAAGAGAAGTTCTCAGCTATAGAATCATGAGGGAACTGTAATCATGGAGCAGGCAGAGTGAAAGAGGTTGGTGCGGAGAACAGGGCTGGAGTTTGCTCAGATCCCGCCTACCTACGCAGCTCTTTAAACGGTTCTCCGAAAGCTCCGAGATGGCACCAGAAGTCACGGTCTTCTTCAGCCTGACGACTCCAGAGGGGCTGGCACTGCCTGGCTTGGTGAGCATGTCATCACTACTGGCCCTCTTTAGCTGTAAGGGAGAGAGAGGCAGGAGAAGGGAGGGGGACAAGAAAGAAGACTCCATAAGTGTACCCCAGGGAGCTGGAGCATCCCCAGTGCCTAAGGGTACACCACCTGGTACCCAGGAGGTGCTTAATAAATACTCGCTGATGGACTGCAGACCTCTTCCCAAGCTGATGTTAAACCATTAAAAATGATGTTGAGGGGAGGGACGTCTGGTCACTCATCCCTAATTATACCATTATCTCACCCACATTTCGCTCTCTTTCCCCTAATAGCAAAAGAGACTGTCAAATGCTCTGTTAAAATCTAACAAGTCCTATCTATGGAAGCAGGCAGGAGGTGTGATGGGTAGCATTTTGGACTTGGACTCAGGAAGACTTGAGTTCAAATCCTGACTCAAACACTAGCTAGCTATGTGATCCTGAGCAATTCCCTTAACTTCTCTCTGCCTCAGTTTCCTCATCAGTAATATGGGGATAATAATAGTACCTACTTCACAGGGTTGTTGTGAGGATCAAATGAAATGTCTTTAAAGCACTTTGAAAACTTTAAAGTTATTGTTATTATTATCATCATCATTATTATTTCTCCGGCATCCCAGTACTCTACTCTTCAAGTAATCATGTCACAAAAAAGGAAATAAGTTTAGTCTGGATGACTTGTTCTCAGTGAAGAAAAGCTGGTGCTTTGTGATTGTTGCTTCCTTTTCTAGATTTCATCAACCACCTCTTTAAATAATGTGCTCTAGAATTGCAATTCTAGTAGTGAGGGAAAATCTCTGTGCAGTGCAGCGTGATGGAAACAGTCAAGGATTTGGAGTCTAAAGATCTGGGCTCAAATCTCCACTCTGCCACTTACTCCTACCTACATGTGACTCTTACCCAAGCAACCTCTCTGCCTCAGTTTCTTCATCTGTAAAATAAAAGGATTCAACTCGGGGGCTTCTAAGATCCCTTCCAGCTCTAAAAATCTATTATCTAGGATTGCCCCACGCTTCAGTTTCCTCATTTGTAAAATGGGGGGTGGAACAGATGGAATTGTAATTTCCTTTGAGGTCTCCATTTATGATCTCATCACTATTTCCAGCTCTAAATCTATGAGCCTAGAATTTCTGCGGTGACCAAGGAAAAAAGGGAATTGTAGGATGGATGGGAAGAAATGCAATTCATTGTGGGAAAATGCATTCGACCAGGAGAAATCAGATTGGTCACTAACCAGCTAGGAGACCCTCGGGCAAACAACATGACCCGTCCATCTCCTCTTCTATAAAATGAGGAGGCTGGACAAGAGCATCCCTGCGGTCCCTTCCAGCTCTGTGTTCTAAGCAGCAGGATACGAGGGCTCGTGCTTAGCCAGAACCATGTAAGTTCATGACACAGCCTTGAAGAACTCAGCTGTTGCCCACAGCAGTGACTTCAGAGGGGACCTGCCCTATCTTAAGAGGGGGTCGAGTGAGAGATTGCAGCTCATTCTAAAGAAGGGGCTATAGTCAGCTCAAACCTGGATCCTTGCCCAGGGAATACTGCCAGATTTATTAGACTATAAGTGAGTCTTTGTGAACAAAGATGTTAACAAACATCAATCGGTGACCTCAAATGCATCTCACTGCAAAACTGTCCCCTGATATCACTAGAAAGGGAAGGCTGTCATCCACTAATTATAAGAGCCACAAATCTGAAATTCCCTTTCTCTTTGAGCTTGGCCTCTCCATATAAATATGGCCATTTCTGGATCATCCAGGACAGGTATCACGCCGCTGGTTTAGGACCCAGTTCCTGGGGCTTCCAACCCGGGGTTCTTCCTCCCCAAGCCTACTGGCTCTGTCCACATGGAGGTGCCAGCAGTCAAGTTAAAAACAGCTGCTGGTGGTCAGGGTTGCTTGAATTCTCTAGCCCACACTCCAGACACTCCATGCTGGGGCAGGGGTGGAGCCTCGCTCCCCGAACACCACAGGAAATGGGTGAAAGCAATGAGGTACGTCTGATTGTGGAGGCTGAACAGTCCCTGGAGAGTTCCCCAAATAAAGAAGGGAAGTAGATTGACTGACTTCAGGGAATTACAGATGCATGATCACAAACAAAATGCTTCTGTTCCCACTTTCAAAGGCAAATGTTCCCGTTTTCTCATGTCATAAAAATTAGCAAGGAGAATGGATTTAATCTGAAAGCCGAGGGCATCTTGGACAGCGCCTAATTAATAGTAAATACCCAAAACTAAATAGTAGGCAGAAGCATTGAGGCGCAGTAGGAGGGCCACTGGACTGAGAGGCGAAAGACCTGGGTTCATATGTTAGATTTAACACTGATCTGATGTGTGACCTTGGACAAGTCACTTCTTTTCTCTGGGCCTCAGTTTCCTTGTAAGGGCCATGACCCGTAAGGTCCTTTCCAGCTCTGACATTTTATGTTCTAAGGCCCTTCCCTGATCCTGACAGCCTTTCCCTGGGCCAGTCACCTTCCCATGCCTCAGTTTTCTCCTCTGTAAAATGAGGGAGTTGGACAAGATGACCTCCAGAGTCCCTTTTACTTCTAGAGCTGTGATTCTGTGGTCCAGGGGTCTTAAGTTCTCTGTTTTAAGGTATCCTGGAAAAGTGGTCACGTAGTCCAGCCTTCTCATTTCTAAATAATGAAATCATGACTCAGGGTATAGTGACTTGTCCAAGATCATGCAGGGGGTTAGTGTCAGAGGGAGGATTTGAACCTAGGTCCCCTGACCCTTGGGCTAAGTGTTCCTTCCACTCAATTTCTCCACCAACCCCCTTGCGCAATACTCCATTGTTCCACTCTATCTTCACCTGGCTTGAATGATTTCACTCGCTCCTACCATTGGGAACACACTTGATCATTTTATCTTTCTGGCCTTCCCCAACAGGTATACAACTTCACATAAACAACATGTTTTATGCACGTTTTATCCCTTGTCCTCTGTACTGCTCTGTCTCATACATTCGATTATAAGCCTCCTGAGGGCAGGGAATATATCTTCTTCCTCTGAAGAAGGAATTCCCCTATCCTGTAGGGGCTCTGTATGTTTAGGGGTATGTTCAGGACTCTGTATGTTCAGGGCTTTGCTCAGTTCTAGGAAAAAGAGCTAACTCATTCACCCGGGCATACTAATTTAGCCTTCATTTTTTTTTTTTTTTGATAATGAGAGAGGTCTGAATACAGGCCCCTAAAATGAAAACCCTTTGAAAGAGGAAAAAGTACATCCTGAAAAATAATCATACACAATTACTGTATGAAGCAGTCTTTATGGTAAAAAAAATTTTTTAATGTGTTTATATTCCTTCTAATTAAAATTGAAATGTTTTATTCATTCATCACCATTTTCTTTATCTTTGTCACATAATGATCAACATGGGATGAGAAAAATCAATGAAATGAAGAGCACAGTCAGGCCACAGGTGTTAGAGAAGGCAGATGTGGGGGAGCAGGGATTTGGAGGAGACGTATAATCTATAGTCAGACCAAGACTGAAACTTGTGCACGTCACTGTATCAATTAAACAAAATAAAACAATTATACAATTAAAATTAAACAAAACAAAATAAACAATTATTTATTTCCAGCTCTTATTCCTCCTTTCAGTCACTCTAACTCCACAACCCAGGGAGCTCTTATTAAGTGCCTGTTGTATGCCAGGTAAAACCTCTTGACCTCTCCTCCTTTATATTAGTCTGAGACAAGGAGATGGCCTTTCTCTTCACCAAGGCCAATCCCTCAATCCCAACCCCTCTTGTCTTTCTCAATTGGATTGCCCTTATAATCATTTTCCACTCTAATCTTCGATTTCTGCCTACTAATTGGTTCCTTCTCTGCTGCCTACAAACATATCCATCTCCCCCATCCTGAAAAAAACCCTTCATTAGACCCTACCCCTCCCCAAGATATTGTTCTATATTTCTCTTCTCTCTATGCCAAATTCCTAGAGGGGGAAAAGCTGTTTATGCTGCTGCCTTCTCCGTCTTACTCCTCAAGCCTTTTCAATCTGGCTTCCAACCTCATCACTCAATCGTTGTCATTGATCTCTTAATTGCCAAACCTGATGATCTTTTCCTAGTCCTTATCCTCCTTGACCTCTCTGCATTTTCATGACATAGAGCTCTCTTCTCTCTCTCTCCTCTCTCTCTGTCTCTGTCTCTGTCTCTGTCTCTCTCTCTCCTCCTCCCACCTCTCTGACCAAACCTCCTCAGTCTCTTTTGCTAGGCCATTATCCATATCACACTCCCTAACTGTAGAAATTAATGTTTCAACTCTATTGAGAAATGCCTTAAAAATCCCCCAGAACATGCTACAGAAACAGACCCATATACATGTATGTACCTTGCTCAAGCTGAAACTTGGATAACATTTCATAAGCATTTTAAATTTCTTACTGTTTTTAAGCTACTGGGCTCCTGCATGGCAAAGTTTATAAAAGGGAAACATCTAAATAGCTCACAGATGAAAAGGAAATAAGATATCCCTTCTTTCTCCACAGAGATTTTCTGTATAAAGGCAGATTCATTTGTTGGGTTCACTGAACTATTTTTCTCTCTTTTATTTTTTTTTTAATTTTTTTTAATTTTTAGGCAGTTGGGGTTAAGTGACTTGCCCAGGGTCACACAGCTAAGAAGTGTTAAGTGTTTGGTCTGAGGCTGGATTTGAACTCAGGTCCTCCTGACTTCAAGGCCAGTGCTCTATCCACTGCGCCACCTAGCTGCTCCCTATTTTTCTCTCTTTTAAAAAAGTCTTAATCACATATGGTGGCCCAATGGGTAGAGAAGGGACAAAGCACAGATTTGGAAATAGAGGTGATGTCAGAACAAAAGATGTCAATAAAATGGATTGGTTTTGGTTCTGAACTGCACCTGTGATCCACTGGTGTAAGGAGCTGCCAGTGTAGAAACTCCCTCTCCCAATGCAGATCATCAAGTGCCCTGTTGTCTTTTTTTTTCTTTTTTGGTGAGGGCAATCGGGGCTAAGTGACTTGCCCAGGGTCCCACAGCTTGTGCGTATCATGTATCTGAGGCTGGATTTGAACTCAGGTCCTCCTTACTCCAGGGCCAGTGCTCTATCCACTGTGCCATCAAGCTACCCAAGTGTCCTATAATCTTTTTTTTTTTTTTAGACAATTGGGGTTAAGTGACTTGCCCAGGGTCACACAGCTAAGAAAGTGTTAAGTGTTTGGTCTGAGGCTGGATTTGAACTCAGGTCTTCCTGACTTCAGGGCTGGTGCTCTATCCACTGCACCACCTAGCTGCCCCCAAGTGCCCTATAATCTTAAGAGGCACCAAGGGCACCAAGATTTAAGGGAAAGCCAGTATGGCTCAGAAGACTTGAACTCGAGTCTTCTTGACTCCAAGGATGGTTCTCTATCCACTACACTAGGCTATTTCTCATCAATAAAAATATGCCTATAAAGAGGTTCTCTAAGATAATAAATCCTGAGTTCTAAAACCACTGCCCATAATATAACCTGGACGTTAACATTCAGGGAAATGCCAGAATCTTTCATAAATAGTTGATACTCAAGACGAGGCTCTAAAAACTCATCCTGGTCCAGCTAAAAATTCTGATCTGACTCCACTGTCTTGGTCTTTCTTTCTGACCATGAAGGAGGAATGACCTGGAAATCTCCTTCTGCATACTCTTCGCCAAAGAGGAGCCTTATGATATATAAAAAGGTTCAAATGACACTCATAGGCCATTGGCCTAAGTTGCAAATGGTCCTAATGTGTCTACTTCACTCATTCTCACTGCCCCTTCGATCCAATCCTTCCAGAAAAAAGGAGTAGCAGTCTGATCTCTCTAGGTAGATAAGAAAAGAGAAATAGCTAGCTAGCAAGACAGATAGATGGATGTATGGATAGATGGACAGATAGATGGATGGATGGATAGATAGAAGGATTGATGGATACATGGATGAGATAGATAGATAGAGTATTTATTAAGCACTTAGTATATTCCAGGCACTAAATTCTAAGTGCTGGGGATGCAAATAAAAACAAAAGACATTCTTTGCCACTAAGGAGTTACATTCTGTTGTCTTCCTTTCTGAGTAGATAGAAATCTCTCTTCTTGCTTTTCCCTCTCCTCTCCCTTCTCTTCTCCTTCTTTATCCATTGTTCCTGTTTACCTCTCTTCTCTCTCTCCCAAAAGGGCAGATGAGAAGTGAGGGGTGGGGAAAGGGATGTTATGATGAAAGATGGGGAAGGGCTGGTCAGGGATATTGATGGGGGAACGTTCTGTGTTTTCCTCCTATGTCAAGTCTTGCTATAGAATAGGACCTGGAGACCCATAAAACACTGAATGGGGTTAATCAGCAGCCACAGCCTTTAGGGTATTCATTTGCTTTACTCTGGCTCTTTTCTCTGTAATCAAGTCCCAGAACAGGCACTTCTACCGACAGTGAGTCAGGGCACTACTCCTGAGGGACTCATTGTCCTTCATGGTTAGATATGTTATTGTTTCCAACTTCGTTAAATTCCCTTTTAATTGACGTTAAATTCAGGGCATCTAATTTTTTTGAGGGAAACTGTCTCTCTCCATCGCACCCAGTGCAGCAGCCACTACCAGGCCCACTGTTAATAGGCACAAGTTTTCCAAGCTGGGCCAGACCCGCCCTAAATTTTTAGGTAGACTGGTGGCCTTCCACTTCCAGGGTGCCATATTGGTACAAGACTTATTGTGGACACTCAATTGGTTTTAGATAAAGCATATAGTTGGCACTTAACAAATGCTTGAATTGAACTTAACTCCTTTAACAGACTGCATTCATGAGCTGATTTAGTCAAAAAGGGAAAATAAAAAGATAATCTGGTACACAGCCTTCTAACAATGAGCTTCTCTGAACTTAACTAAGTTCAGCCTCAGACAAGAGACATGGAGCCTGCTGCTGAGCCTACATTCAAAGCCTTTCCCGCCTTGCAGGCCCCGCTAGTGCTTGCACTCCTCCGGTAGGTTCTTCCAGAGTATAGAGTCACCTACATACCATAATAAAGCATAGGAGTAGGATTTTTGCAGGAACTGTAAGCTTTTACGTACAACTTTCAGGCTCCTTTCCCCTCACCCCAAAGTATCTCTAGAGTAAGTAATAATGTAAACAAGCTCAAGCAACTTCTTTTCTCATATTTCCTTTACATTCTTATTAAAAGATAAGCTCTTTGTGGGCAGGGAATGCTTCATTTTTGTCTCTGTATGCCTAGAGACTGAAGAAGCTCCTCACTGAAAAGAGAGGCACTGGGTGGTTATTTGGGCTGCAACTCAAGAAACATTCTACTGTCACATGGAAGTGTTGTAGTCTGCATAGGAGGAGAGGTTACCCAAGCTAACAAAAGCACAGACGTTTGGGATATTGGGGTACTGACTGTTCCCCATCTTCCTCCCTTTCCATACACAGCCAGTCTATCCACTGCCACCCTTCCTGTCCTGGAGAGTAGGAACTATTCCATTGTATCCCTGGCCTAGTAGTAGATATTTAATAAATACCTGTTGATTGATTGATAGACTGTAAGCTCCCTGAAGGCAAGGATTATTTCATTCATTGCCTCTGCATTTCTAATACCAGGCACAGTGTTTGGATATATAGTAGGTGCTTAATAAATGTTAGTCAATTCCCCTACAGTCAGACCAGGCTGCCTATATGTGCTCACTTGTATTACATTGGCAGAAGAATAATTACCCCCATCCCTTATCCTAGGTAATATTCAAAATTATCACCAACTTGGCATGTGCTTTAAAAAAATATCAGTACCTTGCTGAGTTTAGACTCAAAAGAGAGTGATGTAGAAGATTTGGAAGTCTTCATGCCGGAAGTAGCTGGAGGGAGGGGACGTCCCCGCTCAATCCCATGGGTCCCTTGCTTTACTGTTGTGCTCCAGGATTTGGCTACACTCTTCATTGTTCCAGGGGGTCCAACTTCCTAGAGGAGGCTGGAGGAGAAGAGAAAAAAATGAACTAAAAATGATGTTTTCATCATCCTGAACTAAAACAGTATCTTAAGAGGGTATGTGTGAGAACATCAGCATGTCGGCCACTCCATCACTAAGCCTTCTTGTGGTTGCTATCATCATGAGGACCTAGCCCTCAGATTTAGCTGAAAATAGAACATTCCTTCCCTAAGATCAACAAGGGATCTTGAGACCAAACTGGATGCACTTAGCAAGAGGTCACGTTTTCTAAATTCCACATAGAATTCTCTCTTCCCTAAAAGAAGCATCTCTTCACTAAACTTAATTTTCGGACATTACTTTCCATTGGGAGGGCAAGGGCTTCTGGGACAAGGTCACCTAGCACCACATTTACATCAGCCAGCCCTTCTAGAGCAGGTTGGCTCAATGAGCATAGTGGGGGAAGGGGGGGGTCCATCTCCTCCATCTCCAGAGACAGATCCTGAACATTTCACAGGAAGTCGATTTAGTACATAAAAGCCAATTGACCAAAAACAGATTTTGTGAAACGATCACAAAAACACAAGGACAGCTTTTCCAAGGTTTGTTTTGCAGGGTTTTTTGAGAACATATTTTACATAATGACTAAACCATACTCCATGCTTAGATACATTTGGTCACACCCAACAAGAGCAGCCTTTAGTACTAAAATTTAATAAAGTTATTCAAAGAAGTCTAAGGCAGAATAGTGGGCGGGGGTGGCAGGAATCAGCATTGAAGAAAAAAGGACATGTCCATCGACTGGGGAACGGCTAAGCCAGTTGTGGCACATGAACGTCATGGAATATTACTGTGCTGGAGAAACAATGAATAGGAAAAATTTAGAGAAGTCTGGAAAGACTTTATGAAAAAATGGATGCAGAATGAAGCAAGCAGAATCAGGAAAAAATACACACGACGTCAATGAAAAATGGAAAAAAAAGAACAACAAAATCCCAAACGCTCTGTGATTATAATGACCGTGCTTCACCCTGAAGAAGAAATGAGAAAATGAACTTCTTCCCTTTTTTGACAGAGGTAGGGGACTGTGGGTGGGGAACACTGCATTTAGGATGCCTTGATTAGTTTTGTAATTTTTTTATTCTGTTAAAAGGGATGACTCATGGGGGGCAGAGGTAGAGAGGGAGACATCTTTGGAAATGAAAGTGATTTAAAAACTAAAGATATAAATAAAAACAGGTTTTTTTCATTTTTTTTGTTGAGGCAATCAGGGTTAAGTGACTTGTCCAGGGTCACACAGCTAGTAAGTGTCAAGTGTCTGAGTCCAAATTTGAATCCTGGTCCTCCTGACTCCAAGGCCAGAGCTCTATCCACTGTGTCACCTAGCTTCTCCAATAAAAACAGTTTTTGAGGAAAGGAAAGGTGTGGAGGGTTTGGAGGGGGAAAGTAGTCACAACTCCGAACCTAACTAATGGTATGGCCTTGGGGAAATTGCTTGCTGTCATTATTTATGAAATGAGGACGCAGCATGATTATTACTGTTATCACCCTTTCATCTAGCACTCTAAGGTTTACAAAATGCATTCCCCACAACAGTCTTGAGAGGTTGGTAAGAAGAGCATTATGAGCCCCATTTTATAGATGAGGAGAACGAGGCTCAGAGAGAGGACGTGTGATCTGCCCATGGCATCAGAGCTAACCAACACTAGAGTCAGCATCTCATAGGACAATAGAAAGGGGGGTGGGGTGGAGCATCTGGCTTCAAGTCTCAGCACTATGGCTCATGCTTAGGTGACCTTGGGTAGATCACTTCATCCCCCTACCTCAGGCTTCAGTTTCCTCCTCTGTAAAAACGAGAGGGCTGGACTAAATTGCAGGGTCACAGATCTGCACCTGGGAGGGACCTCGGTCCAATTCCCTCATTTTAAAGAGGAGGAAACACAGGCCCAGAGAGGTTGCCAAGTCAGTCTGTGTTAGAGGTGAGACTTCCTTCCTCCAAGGCGCTGTATCATACTGCCTCATCACCTGTTTTAGAGATGAGAAAACTGAGTCTCATAAGTGGTTAAGTAACTTGCCTAGGGTTATAAATATAGACACATACACACATACACATATGTGCATATATGTGTGTGTATATATATATATATGCCTTCTGTTTATGTATTAGTCCATCAATAAGTATTTATTAAGCACCTGCTGTGTGCCACGTGCCAGACTAAGCACCAGAGATACAGAGACAAAAGTATAACGGTCCCTGCCTTTAAGAAGCTTACATTCTAATAAGGGAGATGTGTACACATAAGCACACATCACATAATCAAAGCCTGCAGTAACAGCTAGCATTTACACAGTGCTTGAAGGTTTATAAGGCACCTTCCACATATTATCTCATTTGAAACTCAGTACCACCTGGGAGGTGGGTGCTCTTCTTATCTGAATTTTACAGGTGGGTAAATACAAAAACACACAACAGCAGACAGTATGTTAGAGCAGAACACATTTAGCATCAGGTGATGGAGGAACTGGGTTCAGATTCCATCCATTTACTATCTGGGTGACTTTGGACAAGTCACTTCATTCCTCTGTACCTCAGTTTCCTCATCTGTAAAATAATGGGGTTGGACTAGATGGTCTATTCCAGCTCTATATCCAGGATCCTCTAATCCTCTGAATACAGTCGTCCTCACTGCTGATAAATGGATGTTTGGGGAGGCTACTCTCTTGGCCTAAAAGGATCTTGACCTGGCAGCCATCAGCCCCTCAACATTCCTCAGCCTTCCTTAGCCGCACCCGAGACCATCTGCTTCTTGTGCATCAAATCCCCACTCCTAACCACCACTGGAAAAAACAACAGACGACTTCCTCCCATCCCATATCATATTGATGGTAGCTTCTACACTAACAGCTCCCATTTGTCTCCAGTGCTTTCAGGTCGGCCTGACCATGGGACGGATGGAAGAAGCTGGGCCTCCTGGGTAAGATCAATCCAGCCCAGAGTCCTGTTTGGACTTGACTTGTATCTGCAAGCCAGCGGCCAGGCATTCCCAAAGACTCCACCAGTCTGGCAGAGCCTCTTGTCTGATGACCGTGTTGTCTGCCTGAGCATCCTGTCGGCCCTTGGGGCCAAGGATCCACAGGACCTCCCTCTAGTCATGGGGGCAGAAATACTCTCTCTGAGCTGCCTGGGCCAAAGGGAGACTGAAGCAGCAGCAGCATCTGGGCCAATGTGCTGGGGAGGGAGAGGGGATATCACTTTCCCAGTTTATTTAAAAGAATTGCCTCCATTAAACTAAAATCAAGAAAGGTGATGGTGCCTGCCTCTGGGGTCTAGGGAAGAAGTGTGGTACACAGAAAAGACAACTGTACCAAAATAGACCAAAATAAAATCAAAATGGGTTCATGATTTAGATATAAAGGCTGATACTGTAAGCTAACTGGGAGAGCAAAGAATAGTTTACCTGTCAGATTTATGGAGAACAGAAGAATTCGTGACCAAACAGGAGACAGAGAACATTACGAAACGCAAAATGGATAATTTTGATTACATTAAATTGAAAAGTTTTTGCCCAAACAAAGCCAATGCAACCAAGATTAGGAGGGAAGTAGAAAACTGGGAAAGTTTTTTTTTTTTTTTTACAACCAGAGAAAAGAGAACTAACTGCCTTTGGCGTCAGAGGATACAAGTTCAAATATGCCTCATGCTCACCACCTGTGTTTCATTGGGCAACTCACTTCCCTTCCCCTGGCCTCAGTTTCCTCATCTGTAAAATGAAGTGGGGAGAGGCAGGCCAGAAGGCCTCCGAGACCTCTCTCAGGTGTCGATCTTTGATGCTGAGATCCACAGGTCACCTGAAGCTCAGGGCTTCTTTCTTTCCAGGCTTCCAGAAAGCAGAGAAGGAAATGAAGTCACGTCTGGGTTTGTTGTGGATTCTGATGCTCGAGAAGTTTTCTGGTTTGGAGACGGGTTTCAGTGACAGCAGCTGAAAAACTGCTCTTTGTATATCACTAATCCCACTGGAACTCCCAATGTAGGAGAGTGAACCCCATGGTCTGCCCGAGTCTTCTTCAGAAGGCATGAAGTACAACTGGCCTTGGAGGCAGGAATACCTGGGTTTGAGCCCTGCTTCTGGCATAAACTGGCTTTGTGACCATGGATAAGGCATTTAACCTCTCTATAACTCTCCGAGGGGCAGCTAGGTGATGCCATGAATAGAACCCCAGGTCTGGAGTGAGGAAGACCTGAGTTCCAATCTGGTCTCAGACACTTACTAGCTGTGTGACCCTGGGCGAGTCACTTCACTCTGTGTGCCTCAGTTCACTCATCTGTAAAATGAGCTGGAGAAGGAAACGACAAACTGTTCCAGTATCTTTGCCAAGAAAACCCCAAATGGGGTCATGAAGAGTCAGACGCAATTGAACAACAATAACTCCCTGAGACTTTTAAGTTATAGGCAAGTTTCTGGAATTCCTAAACTGATCACTAGGAGTTCCCTAAGATCACAGGAACAGACCAGAAACAAAAAATATCCCCCCAAGATCCCCCCTCAGAAGGGAGCATTAAAGACTTACAGGACACATATCTTACAGCAATGATTTTATCAGATCCTTTGCTGAAAATACATTTTTAAGAAGTTCTACTGCTACTTCTGATGCCACCGTCACTCTCTAATATATCAATCAACAAGCAGTTATTAAGCACCTTCAGTGTACTGGAGGCTGTGGCTACAAAGTCAAAAATTTGAAAGTCTCTGCCCTCCGCAAGCTTATATTCTACTGAGATGATGATGAGTACAAGAGTTATAAAAAATAAACACAAACTGATGGGGGTGGGGAGTCCTAACAGTGGAGGGAATCCAGGAAGTGTTCTTGAAGGGGGTGGCATTTAAACTGAGCTTTGAAGAGAGGTAGGGGCTCCAAAAAGCACACGTGCAGAGAAAAAGCATTCTTGGTATGAGAACGTTTACCTATGCAAATACTGGCGTGGGGGGGAGATGCTCAACAGATAACAGGGACCACTGACTTATGGAGGGGAGGTTGATAAA